ACATAAAGGCGATAAAAGCGAACGCATGCTCGTCGTTAAAATCTAGGTTAAGCTCTACAACGAACATAACCACACAAAGAAAGACACAAGGAGAAGAATTGATTCCTAGACATTTACACGTTCAATAGTATATATTTAATACTAAGTATTATCCACTGTATAATAAACAAAAGTTAATGAACTTAATTTTAAAGAGTAAAATCTGATACTTATTAAATAATTGTGAGGTTGTTACCATCGTGCGAAAAACGAACTTAAAGAAATAAAAATTTTGACTTTCACACAATTGACGATAAAATCTAATGTTATATAACAACAATGATATGAAATTTTAATTCCGTGAATCTAAATATTTAAATAATTATGTATAATTATTATTATTTTTCATTACTTATGCATGCGCATGATATTTCTGCTCTGATTTTGTTCGTGTTCGTTCTTTTACTAGAATTTTGAAAAGTTTTTTTGAAATATCTGATAAACAATTCTTTATAAACAATTTACTCAAAGGTTATTTTATAATACCTTAAAATATCTACAATTTAAAATTAAAATGAGTGTCTTATCTCTTATAGTTTAAAAGTTATCGTTAATTAAACTTTTAATTTTTGTCATTTTTTTTCGGAAAAAAATTTCAAACTTTTACTATTTTTGCTTGCTACATAAAAGCTATCACACATAAAATTAAATATTTTATACAAAAAAATCTCCATAAAATTTCCTTTTTAATGACATATTACTCAAAATTCTCTTTTGTTAATTACAAAAGTGTTAACCAAAAATTCATTTTAAAAAATTTCTAAATATTTAATCATTCAAAAGTATATATTTGTTACTAAGTATTATACATTTTATAATAAAAATAAGTTAATGAACTTAAATTTAAAGAGTAAAATCTGATACTTATTAAATAATTAAATAATTGAGAGTTCATTACCATCGTGCGAAAAACGAATCTAAAAAATAAAAATTTTGTTTTCGCGCAAACTCTCACACAATCGACGATAAAATCTAATGTTATATAATAACAATAAAATAAGATTTAAATTCCTTGGAATTTGTTACCAACGAGAGGATTATTTTCAGTTTCAAACGATGTCTCGTTTTCGTTTCATCTTTTATGTTTGTTATTATGTTTGGAGTTTCGAATTTCACATGCTGTGCGCGCCATTGTCGATTCAAGTTCAAGCGCAGCCTAATCAAAACGTAATAATGTAATAATTTAATAATTATTATCGTTCTATTGTGCTCAAGTGCCTCCTACTGGTTTTACTACTGGTGATGCGTACTTCCGATGAACGAAAGCAATGAACTTTTATGAATGAATGCGTGTTTAAGCTATTTATTCATATTTGAATACAATGTGGATTAAATTATTAATATTAACTGTTCATATGAGGTAATTAATGTTTTTCACATGAGAAATGCGTAACCTACGCATGTTTTTTACTTTTTTTAGATTTTTTTAGTTAATTTTTTGAGTTTTTTGAGTTTATGTGTAAATTTGGTTGCCTATGGGATATTTTAAGGTATGTGCTGTTCCTAATTTATGGGAATTGCATTATTATGAAATATTTGTGTTATTTTAAGCCGAAAATAAGAGAAAAAAGACAAATTTTGCTAACTTTTTGTGTTTTTGGAAATATTTTCGTCAGGAAATGTCTAAAAATCATTACTAATAACTATTTATATGGATAATTAATGTTTTTACATGAAAAATTAGTAATCTACGCTTTATTTTATTTTTTTAAATTTTTAAAATGCATTTTTATAATTTAAGTGTAATTTTGGTTGCCTATATGATATTTGAAGGTTATACCAGGATATACACTGTAAAACTGGGTTGTTTGATGTTTTATAAATTTCGACACATAAATAATGATAGTTTTTGCGTGGGTATAAGAAAATATACTTTCTATTCAGAGTAAGTATGCAATAAAAACATTATGTGCGCGTACAGAACATCAATACAAGTTGAAACAAGTTGAAAGCGAGCAAAATATTTGAATTTTTCGAGTTTTTTTCACATTTTATAAAAGCCGACAGTAATGTATGGAAATATTTCAATATACTATACACAGAAACACCGTGCGCAATAAATTTTGTCACAACTATGCGATGTGTCATGGAACTTTTCCAAAAACTATTCATATAAATTTCAAAATAAGTTTAAGACATAAAACTTTGCTTAATTAATTATATTTAAGTAAAATTTTGCTTAAACAAAGTACTTATCTTGTTTAAACATCTTTTTATCTTAATTAGCAGGTGTTTGCATCGCAAATATTTTAATTTTGCTAAAAATTACATTTTTTCGCTAAAATTTATATTAAATGTAAAACAATAAGATTTTAAGTCATTTAAACTTAAAAATGATTACAATATACTTTACTTTTGGTATAACTGATCGAGTTTAAAGTGCATTGGAGAAAAATGCTTGCTTTTCCTTTCGGGCAGGTCATTAATGCAGCTTAATGCAGTCACACTGCATCCAACTGTACTCAAAAGTAACTTTACCGTTAAAAATAAGACTTAAATGAAGACATGTTGCAATAAATACGACCGGTACATCCGCCATCACTCACAATTAATCATATAATACTTTCACAGCAATTTCTCAACAGATGGCGCTGTTATACCGTGTAAATTACGTCATAATTGTTAAAATACATGGATGGTTAGGTTCACCTTCGATAGTTGTATTTTTAGGTTAGAATTTTTATTTATTCAGTGTATTTATTAACGTTTATGACAGTTATAGTTTTTTATTACTGAAAATCAAGCGCTAGATTAACAGATGGCGCTGTTATACAGCAGAACACACCAAAAAGTATTTTATACAAATTTATTTATATTTTTTAGGTTAGAATTTTCATTTATTCAGGTTATCAACTCGTATGACAGCTATTGTTAATTATTAGAGAAAATAAATTCCTACATCAACAGATGGCGCTGTTTTACCAAGTAACATACGTCATAATTGCAAAAATAAAAAAAATGTATTTTCTACAAATAGATTTATATTAAGAGGTCTGGGATGGGCATGGATAGTTAGGTTCGGCCTCGATAGTCGTAAAAAGCAATACAAGTACTAGAATCTGCCGCCGTCATCGACTCAAGTTAAGACTTAAGATTTAAGAGACTTAAGACTAATACAGATAAACCAACATCGAATTTACGAACACGACGTGCGTGATGGCTATCATTCGATTTATGATACCAGATCAGATTAACTAGATCATATACAATACAATCCAGATCACGCATAACCTCAAAACAAAGCACACAAAAAATCACAGCAGAAAAAGAAAAAAAACAAAGAAAGTTAAAGCAAACGAATAAATTGCTTGAATTATCGCAACTTTTGTATTGTGTGCGTATGTTTTTTTCTATTTCTCAGTCTTGTTTTGTTTGACCGTCGCGGACCATGACCACCACAAGCAGCTACAAATGTAAGAACAAATAAGAAACATGCTGGTACTACAATTGTAACATTTTAAGTAGTTTAAACTCAAACTAGAACTATTTTAGGGCATGTTATGACCTAAATGCATCGATTATTCTACCGCAACCCAAATAATAAAATGTGACACGCCTGGTTGCCTATATTACAATACAAATTAAATTTCGTAATTTTATGATGATGATTTTGATTATAATTGCAATTACCGAATACCGATTAGTATTATATTAGAGGTAATGTTTTTAATGTTGTGTAATTATATGTAGTGTTATACATATTAAGTCAGCGTTTCGGTGTTTTGGGTTTTCGGTAATTTTGGTCATCGTTGACGTTCTGATTGTTTTCGGGCGCCTGCCTTGCTTTCGAATTCGGTGGATTTTTTTCGTTGGGTCTGTGTTAATAAGTGCGTTAATAACGTGCAATTTACGAATCACGCGGTTGTGGTGTGTTTTGCGTCCTTAGAGTGATGGATGCGGCGCTATGACACTTAACAACCGTCTTAATTACGGGTTTAAGTCTTAGCCACATACTCATGTGGTTGTAGGTTATATTTATCATCCGGAAACAATGTATCTTGAGTTTTTGAGTTTAGGTCATGTCAAAGAAATTAAAAATTTTAAATTTTGAAAATTTAAAAATTAGAGGAAATATTAAAGATATCAACTTGAAATTTTTATTGGTAATATATAATGTTTGTTACAATGTATGTTGTAAATTTGAAGAATATGGGTTAAGTAGAAATGAGGAAATTAATTTTTTTAAATGGGTTACTCGTGTCATCAATCATAGAGTCTCCAATGATAATTAATTTTTAATCTCAAATAATTTAATAACTATAAGCGATAAACACTTGAAATTTTTATCACATATAAATAATACTTTTCTAAATATTTGTTGTTACTTTCAAGAAAATTGCTTTTGCAGAAACTGAGATAATTAATTTTTAAATTTGGTTACTTTCCTAATCGATTATAAAATCTCCAATAATAATTAATCTTCAATCTTAAATAACTCATCAATTATTAGTGATATTTACTTGAAAATTTTATCACATATAAACCATACTTTTCTAAATATATGTTGTTATTTTCAAAAATATTGGCATTGCAGAAACTACGATAATTAATTTTTAAATAAATAATCAATTACAGAGTCTCAATGATAATTAAACTTTAATCTTAAATATCTCTTAAACTAATACTGATATCAACTTGAAATTTTTATCACATATTACCAATACTTACATTTATTTATATTCCAATTTTTACTCATATTCAACAAACAAAACCCGCGAAAATCAACATTTTCCGCTTTTTAAAATATAAAATTCGTGAAGTTATTGTGTGAAATTATTGTGCGATGCTGATTATAACCCAAGTTGCGTCTGATTGAGCTAACTGTAGTTGCCACTCTCCTTTCGACGTGTTCGCCAGTTCGCTATCAGAAGAAGAGCGCCAAAGCGCCCGCCTTCGAAGCGAACCAGAGCGTCGACGCGGCGTGCAAGTCCGGTGGGACGCACTTCTCTACCCGCGGATCTTACAACGCTCACTTCGCGTCCGCGATCGCCACCAAACGCATCGCAACATCACCACCCAGATAAAAACAACACACTCACACACGTATCACATATTAAACATATTAAATATTAAAATCAAGTGTTTAACATTAAATTAAAATTAAATTAAAAATAAAAGTGTAAAATATTAGAAAAACATGCAATTTAAAGTTCTCTACGCGTTCGCGCTGGCGGCGAGCTGTGCGCATTGTGCAAAGAGTGCGAAAATAATCCCATTGTCCTACTGGCAGGAGCCGGAGGCGGCGGTGACGGTCAGCGATGCCGCCAGGGAGCGCGAAAGCAACAGTCGATACTATGTCGGTGCGTTGGATAGCTTATCATCGGAATCGCCGGAGTACTATCGGTATTCGTCTTCGGTACGACAGCGCGAAACACCGCTGGAGGATGATGTTGACCTTGAAGGTCAATACGCATCAGCGACACCTACTGATACCGAAATGCAGCTGTTCGGACATCAGCGAGACGCGCGCAAAATGCGTAAGTAACCGAAATGTTTAAATATGCGCGCGAGATCATTAAGGCAGTGCTAAAATGTCGCGCTAAGTAGCGTTAAGTAGACTTAAACAAGGCGTAGGTATTTAAAAGCGGCACAGTTGTAAAAGCGACAAAGTCCGTTAACAAGGCGATCATCATTCATTTGCATTGTAGAATTTTTGTGAAGCATCGAGACGGTGACGGACCAGTAGATTTGGGACTAATTTTGAATTTAGAGCAGAAGTTAATTTATACTGGATGATACATAAAGATTTAATTTATGAAAAGAAATAAATTTTGAGAATTTTTTTTGTTTTTTGGTTGAAAATGGTAACATTTTATTGTTTAAAAATATAAATTAAATAATTTAATATGCAGAAATTAATTTAGAGTGAAATTTATATTTATTTTTTTCTTGTGCAAATTTAGTTTTTTGTATATAAAAATGAAGAAAAAAGTGTTTTTTGACGTTTTTTTCGAAGTTTTTTGTTAATAACTCAAATACTAAATAAGATACAACAATTATCTTTTTGCAGATTTATTCTGTAATAAATTCTACTTATTCAGGTATTTTTTTTAATATTTTTCTGTGACAAATTTAATTTTTTTTGCTAAAAAATGAAAAAAATACTGTTTTCTAGTTTTTTTTCAAAGTTTTTTGCTAATAACTCAAAGACAAAATGAGATACAACAATTATCTTTTCACAAATTTATTCTGTAATAAATTCTACATATTCAAGCATAAAGTTTGAATTTTTTCTTTTGAAAATTTAATATTTTTTGCTAAAAAAATGAAAAAATTTACATTTTTCGCGTTTTTCTCAAAGTTTTTTGCTAATAACTCAAAAACAAAATAAGACACAACAATTATCTCTTCATAGATTTATTCTACAATAAATTCTACATCATATTATATATATTTAATAAATTTATTCTAATAAACTTTAATTTTATTTAAAAAAAAAAACATTTTTCTACAAAATTTACTTGAAATTTTACTTTTTTTAATAATTACTTATAAAATTTGATACACCCGGTACATTTTACTAAAATTTCACTAAAACTATAAAATCTGCATAGATAACTAATGACCTACTCAAATAAAAACGCTTCGAATTCAGTAAAGCTCAATAAAATCGAAAATTCCAATCAAAAATTCCAAAATATTCAAATAAGTGCCCGGCTGATAAACATTGAAAATATTTACGATAAACAAATATCTCCTCACGATAAAACAAAATTCCATTCGAATTGAATACCGCGTTAGACTTACCTGTGCATATGATCCTCCTAATTAATTACGTACCATTTTGCTTCATTTGCTACACGGCAACAGCTCATCATGCAAATGTACCTGTAATCACTTACAGTTCCAAGCTACACAACACTCTGACTTAACTAATTATAATTATACATTACGATTTACTTCTCTACCTGTTTGTACTTGTGTATGGAGTGTAATTTGTAATTAACGAAGTTGAGGCGAGTTGAGTTGGTGAATTAAAATTAAAATTTTGATTCTAACCAGACCCCGCTGTGTTGTTAATTAATAACTTCTGTGTTATTGTGATTAATTACGCATTCTGTGTGTCTTTAGTCTTTTGTGTGCGTGTGATTATTTTTTAAACTTTAACTCAAGATGATTTGATACTGCTTATTTTTCACTTGTATTATTATGTATTAATTAATGTACAGTTATGGATGATTACTGCGGGCAACTGAAATTTATTTAAATAATTATGTATAATTATTATTAATTTTTATTGCTTACGCATGCGCATGATATTTTTGCTCTGATTATGATCGTGTTCGTTTTTTTTTTGCTTGAATTTCTTGAATTTTGAAAAGTTTTTTTTAAATATTTCATAAACTATTATTTATAAACAATTTGTTTAAACGTTATTATATAGTACCTTAAAATATCTACAATTTAAAATCAAAATGAGTGTCTTATCTCTTATAGTTTAAGAGTTATCGTTAATTAAACTTTAAATTTTTGTCACTTTTCTGTGAAAATTTAAATTTTGAAAAGTTTTTTTGAAATATCTGACAAACAATTATTTACAAAAAATTTATTTAAAGGTTATTTTATAGTCCTTAAAAAGATCAACAATTTAGAATTAAAATGAGTTTGTTATCATTGATAGTTTAAAAGTTATCGTTAATTAAACTTTTCATTTTTTTCATTTTTTCTTTGTCAAAAACTTAAAACTTTTACTATTTTTCTCTGCTACATAAATACTATCGCACATAAAATTAAATATATTATATAGAACGAATCTCAACAAATTTTCCTTTTTAATGACATATTTCTCAAAATTCTCTTTTGTTAATTACCAAAGTTATTACCCAAAAACCCATAAAATTTCCGAGCAAAAATTGCGCTTTTTCAACGCTTGCGTTTAAGTATTGCGTTTCTTGCGAATTTAAGAGGTAATAAATGATCCGTACTGATTACCTTAAAAAGTCCGACGTAGAAAGTTTCAGTTGCATCGCCGGTACGGCCTTACATCTCTTCATCTCGGAATATATATATTAGATGTGTTCTTCAGTGGTCACTGCTTTGCGGTCAATGGTGCGCGCTAGATAAATACGCACTCAGACGATTTACACTTTATACACACAATTTACATCCGAATGGCATCCAGATTCCAGATGTTACAACTTTTCACTTCTTCATTTCCTATAAACATATTCAAAATATATGTAAATATATTGCATAAATGCATACTTGGTTGCCTACCTTACACCAACACTATATATTTTCATTTCGGTAACAAAAATGCATTTAAATTACGATTTGTGCCGTTTTGCTTTCACTTGACATTGACTGCCGTCGCGAATCTGGATGACTTCCTCATTCGCGCTCGTGCAAGCAGAAAATCTCTTCGGTGTGCTCCAGAATGCAATTTTGTTTCCGATCGCCAACACACGCGTCACACTCGAAGTCGCACGGCACAAACAATCTCCGCCACTTAAAACCATTCAGTTATGATCGCAATGAATAATGAATGTATGCCGACTAAGCTTCGAGCTTAGTGAAAAGTAATTGTACAGAGCACCGAGCATGGAACACGGAGCGAAATCGTTTAGTTTTAATTGAAGCTGCATCCGGAAGCCGGTCATTTTTTACACCAACTCAATGCATGAATATTTTATCTACTTAATTTAGCTATAACTCCATGCTGATGAAGTCTTGAAAGGAAATTGATTTTTTTATTTTGTAAATGAATTAATTTATGGACAGTCTTTGGCGTTTTACATTCATCCATCAACGGTGTAATTTTATTAAACACATACTTCCGGTATTAACGGACGTAAATCAATCTAACACTTGTTTGTTTTTAAGTTTTCACACATTTTTATAAACATGTTATGTTGGTTGCATATATTTTACACGTTTTAATAAATAATAAACATGTTGACGTTTAGTGTGTAACATTGGTTGCATATATTGAGGATTAAAGTCATTTTTTTAATGAATTCCAATCTGTCGGCACTTTATTTGAGAAGTTGTTGATTTAAATCAAGGATTAAGACAACATCTGAGGTGTACGTCTGTTGAGACATTCCAATTTAACACTAAAATCTTAATTTTCTTTGCCTACAACGAAATATTTTCATCTATATATATAAAAATGAATTGCTGTTCGTTAGTCTCGCTAAAACTCGAGAACGGCTGAACGGATTTATCTTATCTTGGTCTTGAGTTATTCGTGGAGGTCTAGGGAAGGTTTAAAAGGTGAGAAAAATTCGAATAATTGCCGGGAAAATCCTCAAAACAGCTCTTTTCTATAGAATAAAATTTGACATTGAGATTCAATCATAGTTATAGTTAAATAGTTGAATTCGAGATGGCGCGCTGAAGTGCATTATTGACAAAACATTATATGCATAATTTCTTTAAATTAAAATTGCTAATCTTATTGATAGAATTGACTCTTACTACGAGTATGTCTAGAACAAGAGAGTAAAAACGAATTACATTTTTATTAAACACTGCCGGAACGAAGTCGCGGGCAACAGCTAGTAATTAAATATAAACCAATCCAATCATGTTAAAGTAAATATATTGCTCTCATTCAAAACCATGTTGGTAATCACTTTTCCCTGCAAAAAAAAACTAAAATGGCTGCCGCTGTCAAAATCTTCTTACTCTCTTTACCAAAACCAAAAAAAAAAAAACTACGATTACTTTTGATCGACAGCAATGAGTCTGCGAAAAAATGTACGCACGCCGAAAAAAAAGTGGGTAACTTGGTCACACGCCATTGGTCAAGTTGAATCAATCTCTGATTGAATAGAAATTCATCACATGACGCACCTCGCAGTGTGTACGCAGATAAATCTTGAAAATAACCACTTTAACAAGCAATAGCACTCTCCCAATAATAATTGTATGTCATTACTATTGGTACCAAGAAATCGTTAACTAAATATTTCCATATCACTACTCAACACTCAAATGTACGTAGGTACATTTGTTTCGTACGTGATCACAAATCTAATGATTAACACCTGAAGTGTCATAAACGTTAATATTGTTAGCAGACACATCTCCACATGATAACTTAATTTACCAGGTAGAAATTATTGGTTATGTGCGTGGAATTATAGACTATAACCTATAAAAATGTTTTCTTGTTAAATAAGAAAGTTTTAATAGTTTCAATTAATTATTTACGTTAATTAATTCTTATTGGAATGAATCAGAGCTTCAAATTGAATTTGCATGCAAAAATGAATGCGTAAGTCTTTGCATGTTAAAGTTATGCAACCCAATTTGCTTGGAACTAGTTAAACATTGTTTAATAGCGTGAAAAGCGCGCGAAATGAGTGCACACGTGTGTGCATTGCGCGATGCATTTCACGCCAGACGGTCTAATTACCATAAAAAGCATAAAAAAAGTTTCAATGTCAAAGTCACGTCCACGATGCAGTTATTGCACGACCTCGCCGTGCACACACAGCGACGATCAATCATCAATAAAATTCTTCTTCACAATGCTGAACAAACATACTAGTTCATCTTCTTACGACAGACACAAACGCTGGAAGCTGTTTTCTAAGCCATGTGTGTAATTACTGCATATTACACCGACGATTAGAAAACCGCTGGACCAGTTTCAATTGCTTGTGTGTAAATTAAAGGCATTTTCAGTGTAATTCCAAGCTAAAAACACGAATTATCTATGTATATTCACATGTGTGGTCTTATATATGCAACCAATATAACATTAAACGCATTACGTGTTGCCTATATTAATAATATTAATTTTAATTTCAGGACAAGACGTAACCACGACAAAACCTCGCAAGAAGAACAAAGAAAGTTTAATGTCAAAAATCCTACCGATGTTGGTGATGCCCTTCTTGGTTTCCTCAACACTCATCCCAATGATGTTGACATCTTTAAAATTCATGCTGTTAAAATCATTATTCGTTGGTAAAATCGCCATTGTATTACTAGCGCTGAACGCACTGTGGAAATCTGACAACCGTGGTGGTGTATACAGTCATAATGTCAATTATGATTACGGCCATGATGGACACGAACAGAAAGATCTACACAAAGATCACTATGGGTACAATGGTGATGAAGAGTATGGTGCGTACGTGAACCGTCGGAGCGCGCGCGTCACGCGTTTCAGATGATCGCGCATGCGCACACGAATGCAACTCATACCAATAATTAGATTAGATACTTAATAACAACGAACAGAAGTTGATTTCTGGACGGATTACTACCTCAAGTCACACTTTATACACACAAACACATTTAGGTGGTTTTAAAGTAAGGTTAGGATTGTACAACGTGTACAAAACCAATTTTGCGCATGTTATATACACGTACCTTAAAAATGCTCGTTCTTGGTATTATTATGTAGCTCATGAATTATGTAATTGTTTATTTATTTATTTATTTATTGTAAAGATGGCGATGTGTGGCGCAAGTGGAGCGTACAAACATCTAATTTTTTTTTTTTCGGTTATTTATTTCGGTTGAGAGGTTTTGCGCCGGCGCGCGATTCGGGGTTTATTGTGAATGTGTTTTCTCTTTTTTTTTCGTTTCTGTGTTTTTAATCATGTGTGGGATTTGTTTACTAAGCATGCGTTACTAATTATACGAATTGGCTCAATTGCACCTTCCAATGGGGGAAAATTAGTTTGTAATGTAAATGATTGTAAGCTAAATTAAATAAAAGAATGTTTTAATTGTAGATATAGGCCACCAAGTATACATCTTACATGTTCTGGTTTTCAGCTAAATAAAATAAAATAAAAGAATGTTTTAATTGTAGATATAGGCCACCATGTATGCATCTAACATGATCTGGTTTACAGGTAAATAAAATAAAAAAATGTTTTAATTGTAGATATAGGCCACCATGTATACATCTAGCATGATCTGGTTTTCATTGCTTTCTGTGTGTCCAGTTGAGTAATAAGTGAAAATTAAAGTAATAGAATCCACCCAAGTGTAATAAAACCGTGGCACTGATACGTTTTACTTGATTAATCACTGGTATAATGCGTTGCGGGTTGCCTGCAGGTGTAAAACAAGAATGAGACGTGCGTCACGAAAAAATCGAGCACGTTTTTTTCGAGATTTTTATTTCGCCCACAGGCTACAACTCTGTTAGAGTTGGGTTTTTAACCGAGGAAGCACTCGGCGCAATTATAGTGCTTAATTTTGTTAAGTCCGTGCTTAAAGTTTACGATGTTTGTCTATTTAACGACGTATTGCCTACAAACAAACGCGCATTCTATTCATGCGCAGTTTAATGTTTAATTTTATTTTATTCTATTTAATTCAATTAATTCCACGTCTTTTGTTTGATTTTTTGCTGGAATTACTTCCTAGGTGGTCACATTCAGGTCATTCCTGTAAAAAATCCACAAAAACGTCAAAATCTATCGATATTTCTGTGTTGATTAAGTTTTAAAACGAAATAATTTGTTTTAACGCATAAATGAATTAATTTATGGACTGTCTTTGACTTGTAGTGTTGGTTGCATATATTTCAAACATGTGATTTGCGTATATGTAATGTAAGTTGCATATAGTTTAATTTAATCTTAAATTCATTGATTTTTTGTTGGAATTACTTCCTAGGTGATCACATTCAGGTCATTCCTGTAAAAATCCACAAAAACATGCAAAATCTATCAATATTTCTGTGTTGATTAAGTTTTAAAATGAAATAATTTGTTTTAATGCGTAAATGAATTATTTTATGGACAGGATTTGATTTGTAGTGTTGGTTGCATATATTTCACACATGTGATTTGCGTATTTGTAATGTAAGTTGCATATAGTTTAATTTAATCTTAAATTTATTGATTTTTTGCTGGAATTACTTCCTAAGTGGTCACATTTAGGTCATTCCAGTTAAAAACTCATAAAAGCATGCAAAATCTATCTATATTTCTGTGTTGATTAAGTTTTAAAACTAAATAATTTGTTTTATTGCGTAAATGAATTAATTTATGGACAGTTTTTGATTTGTAGTGTTGGTTGCATATATTTCACACATGTTGATGTGCGTATATGTAATGTAAGTTGCATATATTTAAATTTAATCTTAAATTCATTGATTTTTGTTGGAATTGCTTCCTAGGTGGTCACATTCAGGTCATTCCTGTTAAAACTCCACAAAAACGTCAAAATCTATTCATATTTTTGTGTTGATTAAGTTTTAAAATGAAATAATTTGTTTTAACGCATAAATGAAGTAATTTATGGACAGTCTTTGATTTGTAGTGTTGGTTGCATATATTTCACACATGTTGATTGACATATGTAATGTAAGTTGCATATAGTTTAATTTAATCTTAAATTCATTTATTTTTTGCTGGAATAACGTCCTAGGTGGTCACATTCAGGTCATTCCTGTTAAAAACCAACAGAAGCGTGCAAAATCTATAGATTATAACTTCTAAAAGTCTTCTTACACCTCGAAAAACATTTTTTTTCTTTTGTGTGAGCTAAAGAAAATGATAATTTCGCATTTTCTGCGCAATAATCAATTCCACCGTGAAAAGTCCAACGGGTAGGGCCATAAAACGTCCGATAATAATGCAACAGTCGCACGGTAGTGCCACCAACCATAAATATAAAGGACGCAGATAAAGACGGACAAATCGGACAACCGTTACCGACAGACGACTGTCGGGGTGGCCCGCAGAGACCCCACGGGTACCTTTCAACTCCTTTCAACATCCCATCACCTTCCACCACGTGCGAAACGCTGCAAATGCATCATAACCAACATAACCTATGTACATAACCTTAAATATACTTTTGAAGAGCCTGGAAGCTCTCATTTTATGACGCTAGGTGAATATGAATAAGGTGTAATTTAGTTTAGTTTGGTTTACAACACATGCAGTTGTGAACTGTTCGCAGAATCATTTAGAACTGAAATTATGGCTGATTTACATTACCTGCCCGAGTGGAACATTTCACCCATTGGAGTTTATGATCGGCGGGGTTGGTGGCGTCGTATATTTTGGGTATTTTCGAGTTTAATGAGCTTAGAGGCGTCTTAACCCGCGCGCAAATTTCGTTTTAACAAGATTACACAGAACTAGGTCGTAAATATAAATAAATATTGTGTAAAAGGTTTGAAATGTTTAAATTATTAGCTTATTAGGTTGATTATTTGAGATGGGAAATGTTTAAGTGATTTTAAGGGTGATTGTCGGTGTGTTTTTTAGTGTGGGTGATCAAAATATTCATTTTACCTGTGTTAAAATGGCGAAAACAACCGGATATTTGTTATAAACCACGGATTATGTTATTGCGGTGTAACTATCAGAAATACCAACAGTAATAAATTGAATTGGATAATAAAACGTGTTTATCTCGAATATTCTGGTGGTAATTTAAGTAAAATTACAAAATGGCGGATGTTGGATCATTTTTTAATGATTTTAAAGACAACAACGTTTAATTTATTGTTAAATACCAATTTTTCTTTTATTTTATAAACAAAACTTTTTTAATTCTTTTTCTCTTACGTTGGGGACCATTTTTACGTCTTTTTGGGCAAATGTACAAATATATTATTCATTTTAACACATTTTATTCTCAGTTTTGTTTAATTTTTGAATTTTATACAATAACGTGTTGTTTTCTTACCTGCCATGCATTTAAGTACTTTTAGTGGTCACCTTCATCCCTTCTCCTAGTTTTACCATCATCCCCCATGCGTCACCACGCCGAAATCCTTGAAAACGTCCCTTGTAAAACCGGCTTCATTCACAACTTGATCGTTACTTGTTTCTTGCCTGTCGAAGAGTAAACCACGAAGCAAAAAAGTTTATAAAACCCCTAAGTGTTATTTAGTTAGTTATTGTGTGTTTACAACTTTAAAAAACCAACAAAATGGATTCCAAACATCGTTTAGTGAAGATTTCCTTCGTTTTTCTTCGAGTTTTTGTTTTGATGTCTACTGCGCATGCTTATAGTGTTTCATCACGTATTACAAGCGTAAACAATATATTTCCACGGAGTATTCCTTCACCTGTAAGTAAAAAAAAGTTTAAAGTTTTAAAATGGCGTCTTTATATTTTTTATTGTTTTATCCTAGGCAACTTTGAGTGCAGAATTAACGGAAAGTATCACAATCGGCGCGCAACTTGCGTATGATCAATGCCAGAAAGCTTTTAAATGGGATAGATGGAATTGCCCAGAAGCAACTTTCGCAAGGTAATTAATTTATAATTTAATAAATATAAATTTTAATAATATTTTGTGTTTTTTTCTGTTTAGACCCAATAAACACGCACCAACAAAGGAAATTGCTTACGCGAAAGCAATCCTCTCTGCTGGGGTTGTCTACACCATCACGAAAAACTGCTCAAGAGGTGAAATTGATAATTGTGGTTGTGATTCACAACTCGGAGGTTCAATGCCTGTAAAAATGTCAGGAAGATCCATTGATCAAGCGGAATTCAATCGAACTGAGTCGAAAAAAGGAGAACCTGTGCAATGGGCATGGGGTGGTTGTTCGGACAGCTCAGTTTATGCCTCACAAATTGCTAAAAACTACCTAGATGATCTTGAAACCACAGAAAACCCACAATCTGTAATTCATTTACACAATAATCAAATCGGACGTGATGTAAGTATGCATTGTATTGCGTAATTAACATAGGCAACCAAATATACTTAATAAATCCTTATTTTTTAACTTGCAGATTGTTCAGGAAACAATGATTAAACGTTGTGTGTGTCACGGAGTGTCTGGAAGTTGCACCCTGCAAACTTGTTGGATGCAAGTCGCGTCGTTTGACACAATCGCTCAAAAATTGAAAGAGAAGTACAAACGTTCTGTTCAAATTGCAGTTGAAAGCGATAATACAGCTGCTGATAATCCAATCGTCGATATTCCGGAAGACAGCGGTAGAGAGTTGATTTATTTAAATGATAGCCCTAATTATTGTAAAGCGGATAATGCTACAGGAATTAAAGGAACTAAAGGTAGAATGTGTTCGCGCAGTAAGTTGAAGACTGCCACAATGGAAGAAAAGCGCAGTTGTCGCAATATTTGCAGAAGTTGTGGATATCGCGTGCGGAAACAAAAGATTGTTGTAAAAGAACGCTGTAATTGTGCATTTAAATGGTGTTGTGAAGTTAAATGCGACACTTGTTACAAAACTGTTGAAGAATTAAGATGTGAATGAGTTTTATTTATTAGAAAATAAGTTTAAAGTGTTTGTGATACCAAAGAGTGAATTATAAGTTGTATATAATAATATGTAAAATAAATTTATACCTAGTGAAATGATTTGAGTTGTTTTTTTGAATGTTTGTGCGTTTTTGTAATGTTTCTCGCGTTATACATTTTCAAATTGTGTTTTAGTTTGATATTTACCCGTCGATGACACGCGCTGTCAAGGTTGATCAAAAGTGCGCATGCGCGTGAAATCCGCAGCCATTTGTGTTTGCATTTCACTCTTCCACCACCAGTTTGCTATCTGCTGTTTCGACGCTTCTATCATCGGCGCGGAACGTTCTAGAATTTCGACCACACACACACGCTCGCAGCTGCCGTTTCTCGAAGCTCTACGAGGAAACGTCGCCATTCGTTTCGCTGCTCGCTGTTCGGCCGTCCGCTGCCCGGGTTGTTCATTTCTGTCGAGCACGTTGTGGTGCACCAACCACACACAGCAAACAATCGACCATTTTGCGTTTTCCACCGAAACACGCCAGCCTGACTGCGCAACTTTGTTAATTGCATTCATTACTAGGATTCAATAAGGTAAGTCAAAACGTCAATTTCTTACACGTGCGTCATGCGACGACAAAACGACTAAATTCCCGATCAATTGTCATCGATTTCGATCGCGTTGTAACTTGTGACTATTCTCTATAAATTTCGCGTTGTTTCTTTAAAAGGCACCGCCATGGTGAAAGAAACAAAATTCTACGACCTGCTCGGCGTTAAGCCAAACTCGACGCCCGACGAGCTGAAAAAGGCCTACCGAAAGCTTGCGCTTAAATATCACCCTGATAAGAACCCGAATGAGGGCGAGAAATTCAAGCAGATCTCACAGGCGTACGAGATCCTCTCCGATCCGGAGAAGAAGCGCATCTATGACCAGGGTGGCGAGCAGGCGTTGAAGGAGGGCGGCGGAAGCGGCGGTTTCTCCAGCCCCATGGATCTGTTTGATATGTTCTTCTCCGGCAGCGGATTTGGTGGGCCGCGTGGTGGGAGGCGTCGTGATCGTCGCGGCAAGGACGTCGTGCACCAGTTGACCGTGACTCTGGAGGAGCTGTACAAGGGCGCCGTGAGGAAGCTCGCACTGCAGAAGAACGTAATTTGTGATAAATGCGAGGGACGCGGCGGTAAGAAGGGCGCTGTCGAGACGTGCAACACTTGCGGCGGCAGCGGAATGCAAGTACAAATACAACAACTAGGACCAGGTAATTTATCATTGCATAATCCAACAATACATGTGCTAATATTTATGTCTACGTAATTGTTTAGGCATGATTCAGCAAATTCAAACGATGTGTAGTGAATGTCGCGGTCAGGGCAAGCGCATCAACCCGAAGGATCGTTGCAAGACGTGCAACGGCAAGAAGGTGGTGCGTGATCGCAAGATTCTCGAGGTGAACATCGATAAGGGTATGACAGACGGGCAGAAGATCACTTTCAGTGGTGAGGGTGATCAGGAGCCGGAGCTGGAGGCCGGTGATATCATCATCGTGCTTGATGAGAAAGAGCATCCGGTGTTTAAGCGCTCAGGGAATGATTTAATCATTCGACAAGAACTACAGCTGGTGGAGTCGCTCTGCGGCTTCCAGAAGGTGATCAAGACACTTGACTGCCGCGATTTGGTCTATACCAGCTCACCGGGTGACGTGATCAAGCACGGTGACGTCAGATGCATCATCGACGAAGGTATGCCACAGTATAAGAACCCGTTCGAGAAGGGACGCCTGGTGGTGCAGTTCCTCGTCGAGTTCCCGACTCAGATCGACCCGCTGATGATTCCGCAGCTGGAGGCATGCTTGCCGCCGCGTCAGGAGCAGATCATTCCGGACGATGCGGAGGAGTGTACGCTGTCACCGTTTGATCCTGAGGCGGAGGCGAGGAGGCGCCAGGCTAGAAATGTCTACGATGAGGACGACGAGGGTGGCCATCCGATGGGCGGGCAGCGGGTGCAATGCGCAACCAACTAAATCAAGTTTTTTCTTAATTTAATTTACTCATGATTATAGTTGCTAGGAACGATTTTAGGTTGCGAAAATAAGGTTTTCTACACCGTGAACTCACGCACGCGCGTGCGCCGTTTCGGCGCTGTGTGTGAAATAATTGCAAAACATGATTTTATAAGGATTCATGACGATGATGATTGAGGAAAAATTGAGTTTATTAGCCCAGCAACCCTCCCGCACTTTCGGTTGACTAACGTTGTAACATACATATTCCAAAAAAAACAAACGAATACCACCAACTAATCTACAGATCCTGAAACCCACCGAGTGGATTATGTTTATATTTATTGAATTAATAAATATTTTGTAGCATTGTAATCTACGTTTTCCTTCTGAAATATGTTAGCGTGATATGGCTGTCCGCTCTTTAGACATTATGGCAATGGCATTTACAGTAGGGTTGTAAGGAATAAGTGTAAACGAATAAAATTAAATTAATTCCATTGGTGGGCTGTGTGTTATGTTTCCACCAAGATTATATTTTCGGTCGACTAATTGAAACTATTTTGCAATTTAGTGTTATCTTTTGTGAAGTTTTGTGATTTCTTATTTTGTAATTGAATTGGTTTGTTCTAGCACCATCTACGTTTGTATTTTTAAGTAATATTTTGTGGAATTCTCGCTAGGGAGCGCATCTATGTATTTATTTAACTATTCGAGCGTTTAAGTTTATCGCTTGCCATCACTCCGAGGCCAACACGCATTTTTTGTTTCACTTCTAATTTAAATCTTCTTTATTGATAAATTCGGCAACTTGTTTTAAATCAATATAATAGAAATTAATTTAATTAATTAAATTACAGTGCATATTCAAATGTTTTTAATCTAATTATGAAAATTTTTGGCCTTGAAAAATATAATTTAGAAATTAAAAGTTTTTATGGCAGAAAATTTAATACAACGTTATTTTCGGTGGGTTATCTTATTCAAGTTTTGTTGTAGAATATATAGATTTGAATTAATTACATAGTTAAATTTCATCAATTTTTAAACATAATATTATTGTCTACACTATTCTATATTGTACCGTTTTACAATGAAACGCGGTGCGATTGAATTGAGGTATAAATCTTATCGCTGCGGGGTGCGGGTCGACGCGAAATCTTATCGCGTGTTGTTTGTCGTGTCGTGTCTGCTTTCTCGGCTCTCGGAGCAGAATGCGGGCAGTCTCGCGGCGGTTTGCAGCCAGTTTACACGCGTATTTTGCGTCTCTACTCGTTTCTTCTAATTATCATTTGGTGAATCGCGCTTTTGATGATCGCCCAGCGCGGCTACCTATTGTGAATTGTTTATGAATCGTGATCTGTGTTGTCTGTGGGTGCGTGTGTGTGTGAGTGTGTGCAAGTGTGATTCAGTCGGCCATTGATATAACCACTTCTTCTTCAACTATTCGTCCGTGTTTGTAACCGTTTCTGCATCGTCTGGTAAGTTTTCAAAATTTATATTATTTGTTTTTTTAAATCCTTTCTTTTGTCATTGTTTTTAACATTAATAAAGTTAAGTTTGAAATTGCATTTGTGATTTCGTCGAGTGCTGAGTGCGAGCAGACGAGACGTCATATAAATTCTCTAGCGGACTGTATTTATTTGTTGTTTTTGAACACAGGATCTGTGCGAATGTCTCGTAAACTAAAAGAGATAAATAGGATCTGATCGCAGCGTCTTAATCTACGGACTATTCTCTACAAGATAGGATAGTTAAAACGGAAATCTGAGAGATGAAATTTTCATTCTTAAGAAAAAATTGCCAAGGGGGGGTGCTTGATACTTTTTTTCGACGATTTTTGATAATTAATATCTCTTAAACTAAAAGCGTCAGCTTCCAACGAATTGTTGATTATGAAAGATTGGGAAATTCTCTATCAGATAAAGATATAATATCATTATATTTCCTACAGTAAAAGGTCGAAAAACGCGACTAAAAGTGCTAAAAAGTGACATTTTGCAATTTTTGCCCATTTTATTCAATCGCGAATATCTCGTAAACTAAAAGAGATAATTAAGTTCTGATCGCAGCGTCTTAATCTACGGACCAATCTCTATCAGATAGAATAGTTAAAACGGAAATCTGTGAGATGAAATTTTCAATCTTAAGAAAAAAATTGCCAAGGGGGGGTGCTTGATACTTTTTTTCGACGATTTTCGATAATTAATATTTCTTAAACTAAAAGCCATAGCAACCAATGAATTGCGGATTATGAAAGATTGGGAAATTCTCTATCAGATAAAAATATAAAATAATTATATTTCCTACAGTAAAAGGTCGAAAATCGCTAGTAAAAGTGCTAAAAAGTGACATTTTTCCATTTTTATCATTATATTTCTTACAGTAAAAGGTCAAACGCGAATATTTAGATATAATTATATTCATTGTAAATCTTGCACTCTATTTAAATATTCTCTCATATTCATGCACGCACAGAACATTGCATTGGACTATATCTAGAACATGAATTGTTCATAGGTCTCACTTTTGAATTACCTATATCGGTGTTTGTATACAAACAACTTTCTGTTATCTCGTTGCGGCGCGTCCGGCTCGCTCAGCCGTGTTTGTTCTATTTCTTACTTAGACGATTATGCGCTGCCGCGTGGTAAAGACGCATTTACTTGATCGGCGGTTTTCGTGGCGACTAATCAGGTTTCTGGTGATTTTAAGCCTGTAGTTGAATTAAATTCGGTCAGCAGAGAGAAAATTAAGAATTACCCGATGAGTGCGGCGTATAGTTATAGATATATCGCGCGTGGAACCCAGAACTGCGTCGTATTACAAGATCCGCACGTGTTTGCCGACGGTCGGCGGATAGCTTCCGTCGTCTAGGAATTCGTAGTGATTTTGTTTTGTGTATTCATTTAATTATTAAATTGAATAAACAACATTTGTGCCTCTTGCAGTATTTCATCTACGAAAACGTAAAAAGGTGTGTAACATAAATATTATATTCTATTATCATTGGACTAATTAAACATTACTTGGATTAATTACCCAATATCGATAACGATCAATCAAATAAATAAAAACTCTGAAAATGATCGCCTTTAGTCCCCGATATCTTGCATTATATCGTGCAATATTGTCCCGTTCCGTCGGCCGTGTATTCACTGCCGTTATGTTTCGTTCTTCGTGCCTGATTGTTGCTTTTGTATCTTATTTCAGCCTGTAATCGGCTTCACGCGTTGGCTAGCTTGTGGGTTTAAGAGATCTTAAATTAGTAGATGTTTAATAAAATTGTAATTATTAGTATGTAATTGTATTACTCATTACGGTTCACGGGTTTCTATACCCGTATCTATCTACTCTCCTAGATATCTAGATATCTAGGATTTTGATTTTCTTCTTTTAACACAAAACAAATTTTAAAATAAACATTAATCTTTTATATTATTTCAGATGTTTCTGTTTCTGTTATCCGCATGGAACAATTTCTTCAATGAGCCGTGGATATAAAGGTAATGATATTAATAAATTATTTATTATTTACTATTTTTAAATTTTATGCCCTGAATTAGAGTCATCCGTGCATTGTCACCTCTTGCGATGCACCGAATGAAAGTCAGATATGCATTCATCCTCGTACGGTGCCCTGACTCGAGTCACTTTTACCGCTAGCCTCGTAAGGTATCCCGAATCGAGTCACTTCTACCGCTAGCTTTGTACGGTGCCCTGAATCGAGTCACTTTTACCGTTAGCCTCGTAAGGTAATCATTTTTCCTGATGCGGAATTTAATTCTGCATCTCGCTGTATTGAAATTTATTGCAAGAAAATTCCGTGCCGCGCATTATATTGAAAGTTGTGGGTACACGCACTAGGAGTAATACTCTTGCGCTAAGAATTGTAGTTTTTATGTTATAACACGCGAACGCGGTGTCAAAATTAGGTTGAAATAATTTTTCCCGGTGCAGAATTTAATTCTATATCACCCTGTATTGAAATTTATTGCCAGAAAATTCCGTGACGCGAGTTATATTGAAAGTTGTGTGTATACGCACTGGTACTCGTTGCGCTAAGAATTGTAGTTTTTATGTTATAACACGCGAACGCGGTGTCAAAATTAGGTTGAAATAAGTTTCCCATATGCAGAATTTAATTCTATATCACCCTGTATTAAAATTTATTGCCAGAAAATTCCGTGACGCGAGTTATATTGAAAGTTGTGTGTATACGCACTGGTACTCGTTGCGCTAAGAATTGTAGTTTTTATGTTATAACACGCGAACGCGGTGTCAAAATTAGGTTGAAATAGTTTTTCCAGGTGCAGAATTTAATTCTATATCACCCTGTATTGAAATTTATTGCCAGAAAATTCCGTGACGCGAGTTATATTGAAAGTTGTGTGTATATGCACTGGTACTCGTTGCGCTAAGAATTGTAGTTTTTATGTTATAACACGCGAACGCGGTGTCAAAATTAGGTTGAAATAAGTTTCCCAGATGCAGAATTTAATTCTATATCACCCTGTATTGAAATTTATTGCCAGAAAATTCCGTGACGCGAGTTATATTGAAAGTTGTGTGTATACGCACTGGTACTCGTTGCGCTAAGAATTGTAGTTTTTATGTTATAACACGCGAACGCGGTGTCATAATTAGGTTGAAATGATTTTCCAGGTGCAGAAATTAATTCTATATCTCCCTGTATTGAAATTTATTGCAAGAAAATTCCGTGACGCGAGTTATATTGAAAGTTGTGTGTATACGCACTGCGCGTAATACTCGTTGCGCTAGGAATTGCAGTTTTTTTTTTGTTATAACACGCGAACGCGGTGTCAAAACAAGTTCGAAATCATTTTCTCTGATGCGGAATTTAATTCTATATCGCCCTGTATTGAAATTTATTGCCAGAAAATTCCGTGACGCGAGTTATATTGAAAGTTGTGTGTATACGCACTGGTACTCGTTGCGCTAAGAATTGCAGTTTTTATGTTATAACACGCGAACGCGGTGTCAAAATTAGGTTGAAATAATTTTCCCAAATGCGGAATTTAATTCTATATCACCCTGTATTAAAATTTATTGCCAGAAAATTCCGTGACGCGAGTTATATTGAAAGTTGTGTGTATACGCACTGGTACTCGTTGCGCTAAGAATTGTAGTTTTTATGTTATAACACGCGAACGCGATGTCAAAATTTGGTTGAAATAATTTTCCCAGGTGCAGAATTTAATTTTATATTACCCTGTATTGAAATTTATTGCCAGAAAATTCCGTGACGCGAGTTATATTGAAAGTTGTGTGTATACGCACTGGTACTCGTTGCGCTAAGAATTGTAGTTTTTATGTTATAACACGCGAACGCGGTGTCAAAATTAGGTTGAAATAATTTTCCCAGGTGCAGAATTTAATTTTATATTACCCTGTATTGAAATGTATTGCCTGAAAATTCCGTGTCGCGAGTTATATTGTAATTTGTGTATATATGCACTGGTACTAGTTGCGCTAAGAA